GCCACTCGGCCGGCCCTCTTTTAATTTTTCAATTACAGTCAAATAACAATTAATGAACCCATATTTAGTGCCTTGTACTTTTCTGGGGCCTGCAGTTACAGAGTGAAAAGCTATGGCGTCTGCACTCAAGCAGGGGAAACAATCAAGAACATGGAAATTGTGAGCTGTGTGTTGTGAGCTGTGATGATGGTGTGTGCAGTGTGGTGTTGGACCCCAGATGTAGGTGGATAAACTGAGATATCAGGAAGGGCTTCCTGGAAGTGACATTACTTTGGTATTAAAGTGTGAATGGAAGTTAATTAGATAACAAAGAGGAGTTAAGATGTTCTGGGGGATGGGAAGCCGGGCAGAAAAGTAAAACACAGAACACATACTGGGAACTTGAGGACGTTTGGCGGGCCTAGAGCTTAGAATTGAATGCAGGACTTTGTACTTCTGCCTCTCCATTCCCAGGGCATCTAAAAGGAAAAGAGGAGTAAAAACAAGAAGACAAATGACTTCATATTTTACTTGAGACCAATTTTCCTGTTATTGTCCTGAGTTTGGATTTGGGTGATCTGATTCAAGGGATGGGGCTTTTCTGTGAAATACTTGATGGAGGATTCACAGCCAGATGTGTCCTTGCCATGTTTGATGTTATTGCTCTATTTTGCTACAGCTCCTGCCCATTCACACTCTGAGGCTTGGCATGGAAGTGGATTCCTTTGATGGGCACCATTATATCTCTTCGATTGCTCCAGGTTGTCCTATTGATGCACTGAGCCTCCTTCAGCCAGAGGATGAGCTTCTTGAGGTAAAATTTATGAGGGAACAGACACAGGGCAGGAATTTTTAAGCTCCAGGAAAATGTGTTCTCACTAGAAATCCACTAAGTTACATTATCACCCGTGTCAATGTAATATGACCTACTTAGTTTGAAACATTTTGGTGACTATAGTTAATACAGTATTATATACTTCAAAGTTGCTGAGAGAGTACATTTTAATGTTCTCACCATACACACACAAAAATGGTAACTATGAGATGGTAGATGTGTTAACTAACCTTATTGTGGTAATTGTTTGATATATGTATATCAAATTATCACATTGTATACCTTGAACTTACACAGTGTTATATGGCAATTATATCTCAATGAAGCTGGAAAAAAATAAAGTAAAAGACAAAGAAAAATACCTGAGCTTATGTAATGATAAAGGAAGTCAATAATATGCTTTCAGTTCATTTCCACCATCTTGTGGGACTCCTGATTTGTCCATTTGAGTTTTTGTTTAAATGTTTGTTTAAATGTTTTGTTTAAATGAAAAGAAGTAATGACCTATTTTGGTTTGATAGCATAATTAGTATTTTTTTTTGAGCAAAATTATTTTTAAGAATCTGATCTCTGACCCTTATTTGCAACATATAGTCACATTTATTTTCAGGTTTTGTTGATTATTTCTAATAAGGATTAGAGCTGGATGACTTCCAGCTTATGTATTCTTGATTGGTTTTCAGGCGAGCTCCTTGGTACTCTCTTCCTACAACATGGCAGCCTCTAGTGGTCTCACTCAGGTTTCCCAGCCTCTCTTCAATCGGAGCCAATTCTAGAACACTTCTGCTTTGGCATGACTTTCTTGAGAGATTTTGTTAGATTGAAAAGTTCTGTATCTAACACAAAAAACAACATTGAAACCATTAATTTTACATATAAGAAAATAAGGCATTGATTTTCCCCAATTTTATATACTGGTAGAATAATGATTTTAATGCATGTTTTCTAAATCCCTTTTTACTGTTTTTTCATATACATCTCACTAGTTCCTATACTCCTAAAAAAGATGTGGGCAATGATCAAACTTAGGGAAGACTCTATACAAGATGGTTCTTTCTCTAAAGAGTTAGGAACCACGAGAAGCCCTCGTTGGGTTTACTAAAATCAGCCTAGGAGCTGTAGACAAGATTAGAATCCTATGAGCCTTAATTTTAGAGATTTCTTTCTAAAATTTTGTTTGCTCAAAGTGAAATGACCAGGACAGCAAATAGCTTTCTTGCTGGGTGCAGCTGCATATTTTTAAACAGTGTCCAGCCACCTAAAAGAGTATGTTCAATTTCAAGGCCAGAGGGAAAAGTGCTATGACTAATTGTCAAATTCTGTCATAAGTATGGCAGAGCAGGGTGTTAGAGTTCTGTTGTAAGATGTAGTAAGTTGCTTATTTTTAGAGGTGCTCAAGGAATGATATTGGGATGCTTACTGGAGGATTAATGCCCTAGATTTTACTATATCGCTTGTGGTTTTTGTTTTGTTCTGAATCATGTCTTCCTTTCTGATTTGCAGGGCATATGACATAGCTTTGTGGAATATCACACACGATAATCTGTAGATTGGCAATCATTGGGAAACCATTTCTCTAACATGTAATGTTAAGTACTGAGAAATGAGATATATTTGTCTGGGAAATGTGGAAATATGAGCAAAAACCAGTTTAGTTTACTTTTTTGTGGTAATATGTACATTTATAGCATAAAATTTACATTTTAAGCATTTTTTTTTAATTGGGGAATTGGAGAAGGGAATAGTGTTGGGAAATTGGGAAAGAGGAACATTGTGTTTTTCCAGGACCCATCAGCTTCAAGTCAAGTTGTTGTCCTTCAGTCTTAGTTGTGAAGACGCAAGCTCAGCTCCAAGTCCAGTTGCCACTTTCAATCTAGTTGCGAGGGGGCACAGCCCACCATTCCATGCGGGAGTCGAACCTGTAACCTTGTTGTTAAGAGCATGCGTTCTCACCAGCTGAGCCGTCCAACTGCCCATTGGCAGCTCAGCAGCAGCTCAGCTCAGGTGCAGCTCACTGGCTTATTTGGGAATCGAACCAGCGACCTTGTTGCTTAGAGCTCGTGCTCTTAACCAACTGCACCACCTGGCTGGCCCATTTTAAGCATTTTTAGTGTCTAATCCAATGACCTTAAGTATAATTTACTACTAGTATATGGTAGGAGATAAAGAAATGTTAGCTGGATCTGAGTAGAGCAAGGATAAGCGATCTCAGTCATCCATCTGTGCCTTAGCCAGGATTAGAAATCCACGGGCCTTTCTTTTCACCTTGTAAAAGAATGTGTTGTGATACAGTAGCATGAAGACTTGAATTCATAAGTATAGATTTTTGGTGAAAGAACTTGGGATATGGAAAGAAGCACAGGTTTGGAAGCTAGAAAAGCTGCTTTTGGCTCTGAATTTGCCATAGCTTAACCATGTCCCCTGGCATGTCACTTAACTTTTTTGAGAATTAGTTTCTTCGTCAAGAAATGCTTACTTCACTATGTATTTGTGAGGATCTAATGGAATGTCGTCCAGGTAAACTATAAAGCATATCTTACTATGAGATATTGGCAATATTATCACTAGGAAAAGGCATAAACAATCTTTAAGGGATAGGATGAATGAGGATTGAACGCGGTAATGTAGTAGCACAGTACTAGTACAGTATTAGGTCTGTGTGTGCGTGTTTTCTAATCACAGTCTGACCAAGTGAGTCTTGACAGCACTTAGAGGGTCTCAAGTCTCAAGTTGAAGGGCCTAGAGACATACTGTGAACTCTAAAATAAAAATTGGCTGCTTCTGAGTAACCAAATATAGAAATAAAAAAAATCTCTGTAAAGTTAGCCAAATAAACTCCCGAATTTAAAGTGTGTGTGTGTGTGTGTGTGTGTGTGTGTGTGTGTGTGTGTGTGTTTAATGTACTCCTTAGAGCTTAAAACCAGAAACACAAATATGCTTTGGGGTTAGAACATTGCTCCAAGTCTCAGCCCAGAGCAGCTTTTTACAGCAGCCATAAATCCCCTTAGATAGGAGTTGGTAATGGGAAATGTGACCAATCCCTTTAGTGATAGAGAATAGTGAGGAGGACTACCAGGCACTGCTATAATAATTGGAGACAATTCAAATGAATAAATAATGAGCTAAATAAATATTTAAATGTACTCCAAGATAAAAATCTGAAAAGTGATTTTCTTATTTGTTGAAGTACTGTGAAACACAAACTAATACTTGTGTCTAGGTAGAATTCCTGCTTTCATTGTATGTGTTTGCTTTCTTTTTAGTGTAGGTTACTCCCCATTTGGTTGGTTTTAGAACTTTCTGTTCACTGGTGCCAGTTGGCACCATGGGCATGGTGTGGCCTGTGATGGGTACCTCCCTACCGATTTTTGTATGAAGATTGACTTGTAATTCTTCCAAGGACAACCTTTCAACTTGCTGTACCCTGGACTCCTTCATAGGTCATAAAGTCTTGGAAGACGATATTTACTTCCCCATTAGGGCTAGCTTTCTGAAGCACGTGTGGGTCTCTTTACTATGTGGTGATTTCTTTGTAAATAATTAAGAGGCAGGGAGATTGTCTGGCCTGATGGCTAAGTGCTTGGTATGTTCCAGGCCTCAGAGTGGTTCCAAGGGACAATTGATTTGGGGCTCAGATCACTGCTGATGAGATGCTTCCAACAACCCACTGTGCTTTTATTCTCTGAGCAATGACAGGTTTTGTGGAAAGGGTCCTCCCAGGAAAGGCAGCCCTGCCAGTTATCTGGACATTAGCACTGCAACTGTCAGAAATTAATGTGAGACCAGAAATATCTTTAAAGTTAGTAATGGTGCCGAACCCTCCCAGGAAGGTAGGAGTCAGATGTAAAAAGATTATTTGTTCCTTGGATGTGCTCATGCCTCAGCCTAGCAGACAGATCAAGTTTTGGTGATTTTTAGTCAGAACGACAGAGCTCCTTGAGCTAAATTTATACATATGAAAAATTAAAATAGACATCTTTTGAAATCATCTTTGGTGCAAAATACTATTATTATGCACTAAAATAATATGAAATTTAGATAATTTTTGGTGATAAACATTCATCATTATTAAGGAGTAGTTGGTTATCTTTTTATTCTTTTAAACATATGAGACATGAATAAAATAATTTGAAAACTGATACACTTCCAATAATTGATGGCTGTGCCAGCAGACAATGTAAGAATAGCACTAATGCAGTGTTATATTTGTTTCTTTACTATAGAAGTGATTTTTCTAGGTTTGGTATTAAGAGTTTATGGGATATGAAAGAAAATTGTGAACTGATGCTAAATTTTGACTGCCTAGATTTTTGTTACGCTTTCTAAGTTCAGCAGTATTAACAGCCTTAAAAGTTAGTGTTACTATCTGTAGTGACAGTCTTACAAAATAAAAAAGCAAAAGGAAATGGTCTTAAGAAGACTGTGAATGATATTTAATATGTTTAGGGAGAGATGAGTGGAAGTAGATGAGAGAATACAACAAAGGAGAAACCATGGAGGTATGAAAAATTAGGCAGATCACTTACCCAGGGAAAGTTATCCTCTGCATACATTTTATACTTTATTCACCCAAGTTCAATAAAGGTTTAACCTTAATTTTTATAAATTTTATGGATTTCTGATGTTTTTAGTTACTACTAAAATAATATTAAAATCAGGCCCTTTGTATACAGGGAAAGTAAAACAATATCCTATTTTCATTTTGATTGATGTAAACAAGAGACTTTTGGTTTTTCATTTGGGGCCTCCTCAATTCTGACTTATCCCTTGCCTTTCTAGGTCAATGGTGTGCAGCTCTATGGGAAATCCCGTCGAGAAGCAGTCTCCTTTCTTAAAGAAGTGCCACCCCCCTTTACCTTGGTTTGCTGTCGACGGTTGTTTGATGATGAAGCCTCTGTAGATGAACCAAGGATCACTGAAGCCTCCCTTCCTGAGACTGAGGTACTGACTGAATATACTGTGGTTCCCATAGGCACGCCCATTCATGAAGGATGTCCCACAGAGTGTATCGCAATATTCAAAGGAGGGGGAAATACTTCCTCCTTTTTTATTTCACTACAGTAGCTCTCCATGGCAATAATACACAGCTTTTCAAATTGTCACTTTTCATTTTAATGTCATAAAATTTTCCTTTTTTTCCTCTTTGAAATACTAGTGACATTAATGAGCATGCACTTTGATTTTTGAGATTTTTTAAAAGAAATAATTGCCCGGGCTCATTACTTTTAGCTCCCAGTTCAACTCAGTTCATCTTAATAAGTTTAAGACATTGGTGAGTGTTGAATATCTAATGGACTTCCTTTTTTCAGAGCCTTAAACATATGAAGACCTATGACCAATTTCGAAGTGAGTCTAAAAATTGCTGTAAAAGCCTTCAGAAGGTCAGAGGATAAAATAACACTTTCTGTGCCTTGGTAGTCTTTATTTTTTTAAGAGCCTTGTAATTATGAAAACAGTTTTCAGCACGTGCTTTGTCATCTGATGCCATTTGTAACCTCATTTTTTATGCCATTTTCCCCTTTTCCAGACTCTCCTACATTATAATTCCATTAACAACAGTTTAGATACATGGGGCCTTGCCTTTTACCTGCCTCTGGTTTGAATTTCAAGATCTGTGGACCCTAATTCTACTTCTACCACTTAATGATTGTGAATCTTGAGCAAATAATTTGACTGTCTGTTCATATTCTTCCTCTGAAAAAGGGATAATTGTAGCACTTACCCGCCTCATCAGTTTGTGGGGAAAGGAGATGAAGTAGCATGTGTGCAAAGCTCAAGGTGCAATGCCTTGCACATGGAAAGTGCTCGGTAAAAGTTAACGATAGCTCTTCCTGACTCCTCGAGTCCACCCATCTTTGTTTTCTGATCTTCTGAAGCACATAGGAGTCAACATAGCTCTGTCTTATAGTCACAGATATTTTAGGATGTTTTAAGCTTGTTTTTACATGAAAACTGTCAGCTCCTGTAGGCAGGGTACATATCTTAAAATTTTGGATCTCATGGTGTTTTTATTCTGTACTGGGCATGTAAGAAGTGCTTAGTACATTATTGATTGAGAATCTTTTTTAAATGTTTATCTTTAGTAAAATGTACTTCAAGGAAGGGACTCAAATGCCACACTTTTGTGATTCTTGCTATCTTTATTAAAATTAAATGTGGATGATGGCTTACCTCTAAAGGTTGATAAAAATGCCTTTAATCTAATCTTACAGGGTGTGTAAATCACCAACACAGCTTGCTGACTCTATGCTCCCATCTGTCATACTTTACCACAATGGGTAAACAACAGCTCTGAATTATGCTAAATGTCAACCTTGCTGCCCATTAGTTGATTGCTTTCCATTCTGTAAATATAGGAGTTATGCAGAATTGATTGTATCAAAGTGATAGATTTTGGGTTGGAGTATAATATCTTATATACCAGATGCCTTGAAATTTCTGTAAGCTTGGGTTTTACAATTGTATGTGGTTTCTTAAAATCCTGGCTCTCTTTTCCATCTGTCTTTTTTTTTTTTTTTTTAATTTATCCCAATACCATCTTAGGTTCTTAAACTCTATCTGGTTAGGCAACTCAGCCAAAATTCTAATGCTCATTAATCAGTGAGGGTATTAAATGCCCCAGTAAAACATCAATCATATTGTATTAGCCTTCAGAACTTTATTCTTTATTGGAAGGTATGAGTTTTTTCATTTTAAGTGTATCATTTCCTCACATTAGGCTGATATATACAAAGGTTATTGATCCAGAATATTCCCACTAATTTCAAGTTTTGTAATTCAAGACACAAGAAATTGTTCCCATGTTGAGAGCCAATCCATCATGGATTGAGTATTGACTTTCCATGTACTGCAGGGACAGTTTGAGATCCGGACCAACTGTAATTTAAAAATGTTTTTGTATTAGCTATGGTGCCTTACTCTTCCATATTAGAGGGGTTTTCCCCGACCTTTGATTCCATTAAATGGGACTTTTCTTATACAAGTCACACAAAATTACCTTTGTAGAAATAATGTACTTTCATTTTATTTACTAAGATCACCCAAAGTTTTAAGAAGTCGACTTTTTAAAAAATCATTATTTATTTAGTCTGTAGCTTTATTAAAAAAGAGTTTCAAGGTAAACCCACTGAAAAATACATGATTTATTAATGTATTGAGCAGATATTTGTTGAGAGGCCATGAGCCAGGCACTATTGTGGGTTGAGTGCATAACTGTGGTAAACTCTATGGAAGACACACACAGTTTTCCATTCTGACCTAGGAGCCAGGCATTTTGTTAGTTGCTAGTGCTACAAAGAAAAAGAAGATAATTCTTGAGCTTCAGCTAGCAATTCCGAGTATTTGGGGGAGGTAAATCATATAAAAACAACAATACAGTGCTATACATAGTATAAAAAAAGGTTAAAGCAGATAGTCTCCTGCATGTTAACTCACTGATGCTGTATCATTTAGCTTCCTGGAACCCCACTGAGCAGTGACTCTTGTCCCTGAATGGAAGGGGAACCTGGAATAATGGGATTTGGGGATGTGAGGTCAGAGAAAATAACCAAGGATCTGTGTCCTGGAAAGTTGCACTGACCTACATCTTCAACGATCAGATTTTCATTATTTCAACTCAGTGATTTTCACTTGTTTTTAGACTTACATGATTCCCAAAGGCTTGGATTTTTTTCTACCTTGTTTTTTCAGTAAAGTTTTTCTTGAAAACTTCTAGGAGCCAACAGAAGTGGTTTTTCTTTGTCATATCCTGGCCTCTCGACCTGTGTTGGCATCTTTCTCTGTCTCTCACTGTACTTATGAACTCAGGTATTGCTACTTAAATATCTTGTAAGCTTTGACTTTGTATGATGTTTTCATTTTTCCTTAAATTGCATATTTTTCCTTTTATGCTTCTAATGGGATGACAGAACTCATTGAAGTATAAGAGGTCAGTTTTACCACTTTGAAACAGATATGTTACATTTAAAAACAACTATATGAATGTTATTAAGTGCTTTAATTTTTAAGAAATCTTATGCTAGACTGTATGTGTCCCAGTGCATGCCCCTTTCAAAAAGATTAAGAAGAAAAACTACGCATGCCAAAGAGAACCCCCGGTTTGAGAAGAAGCTATGATGTTCCTAATATGTCCTTGTCGGAACTGAAAGGATAGTATTTTGAAGCATTTGTGTTCTTTGGTATTTCAGGGTGACCACAATATAGATGTCAATACTGAAGAAGATGATGATGGGGAATTAGCCCTATGGTCTCCCGAAGTCAAGATCGTTGAACTAGTAAAAGATCATAAAGGCTTGGGATTCAGCATTTTGGATTACCAGGTATAAGAACCTCTGTAGAGTTTTTGGAGTGATTAGTTTGTATTAATGTTATGTGAAATAGTAATTGTTTAAGGCACCCATTGACTTAGGCAAAATGGAATGATTTGATATATAATGCTACTGTCGAAAGATGGGGTGTTATACTTTCCATTGTTACCTTTATAATTAATAGTTAGTGAATAAATAATTAGTGAATAAAATGATGGATGATATAATAACTGGACAATAAGGGAAATAATAGTTTTATATCCATGGATGCTTTTAGAGACTGGAACTTGATGAATTTTTTTATATGGAGTGTTTCCCCCTCCACACCCCCCCCCCCCCCCCCCCCCCGCTTTATTGAGACATATTTCACGCACCATAAAATTCACCCATTTAAAGAATACAGTTTGGTTGCTTTTAGTATATTCAGAGTTGTGCAGCCTTCACCATGGTCTAATTTTAGCATGTTTTCGTCACCCCAAAAAGAATCCCTATACATATTAGTAGTCATTCCCAATTATCAGTCTCCCCGACTTCCCCTTCACATACTTTTGCTTGCCTATTAAACTCAGCTTAATTAAGTAGAAAATGTTCTTGGCAAAATGATATATTTGTATTTAATAATGGAACACATAATATTTATGTATTTATATGTACCCCAGATATAACTAAAGTTATTGATGCATCTAGGGGAAGGATGTGAAAGGTCACAATAAGACATGTATATGTTTTACCAGTTTACCAGTTTATAGTATTTTTAGACCTTCTGATTATCGTGGGGAATTAAAACTGTTGGCAAGAAATCTCTTCATTTTTAAGATGCATATTTTAATACATTTGTGCTGCCTAAACACATTGTGGGTTGATAAAGCAAAATGTACTCTATCAAAGCACATAAAATGCCAAGTAATATAAAAATCAATTCTTTTATTTTTAATATAATAAGGCATTTGGGAATAGATTAAAAGAAGAATACTTTGAGCATTATGTAAGACATTAAATTCAATATTTTGGCAGTGTGATTTAAGATTACTGAAATAGATTATATCTGTTTCATTTTTGCTGGCATATTTTTGTGCCAGACAATCCTCTCTGTTATTAGAACTTCTCTTTGGAATAGTATTGAATTATGAGTTGTTGATTCCAAATAGTGCATATTTTGGGAAACATTTTTATGAAGATACCAATACTGTAAGATTCTGGAATTTTATATATTGGTCAATATTAGAGCCTATAAAACAAATTGCAGGTGCTATCTCATTTTTTCCTCCCCAGTGTAGATCTATTACCTAGCACATGATAGGTGATTAACAAATATTTGCAGAGTGATTGGGTAAAAGTTAGGTTAGCCAAAATTAACTGAGACTACACGAACACATTCAGTGGGATTTTTTGTTAACCATTTTGATAAATGGGATTTACTTTAGAAAACACCTTTCAGATGTGGTTTAGATATTTGGCTGCATTTCCATTATCATTAGAATCTCTATGTATTTGCATTCTGTATAATAAATATCTCATAATGGTTGCTCTTATCCTATTAAATGACATTATGTACAAATTTTATATTTTGAATATTGCAGATGTTAAAGCAGAGAAGTGCCTTAGAAATTTAAAAAAAAAACAGACTTCATTAAAAGATGGAAAGAAAACTTGATAGTCCTTAATAGTTTAATTCCTAGTTAACAGAAACATTTCTTTATGAGTTCTGAGCTTTACACTTAAAAAAAATATACACACACGCACACACATACATATATGTGTGTGTGTGTGTGTGTGTGTGTGTGTGTATATATATATATATATATATATATATATATGTAGCTTTTTCTAAATATGGAAGGTTTTTTTTTCTTCACTGCATTCCTATAGGTATGCATTGTAACATATCTTTTGTTTTTATTTTATTTTTATTTATAAAATTTGAGGTCCCCCCATCTGATTTTCCTCAAAATCATCATTACACGTACAGCACTGACATTTATTTCTGCACAAATTACATATAGTAATCCTGCTGCAAAGGAAGTATTACATGTTCTTTTTGTTTTTGTGCTTCTCAGAAAACTGATAGAAAAATACTTGATTTTCTAAAAGCTACTTTGATTTACATTAAAGGCTCGGCTTATTCACTTTTGTAGGTAAACTTCAGAAGAAATCTTAAATTGAATGTTTTTCTTAAGTCGAGCTTAAGTGCACTTCTGTACAAGCATGTTTTCTGTATACAACTACAGAACTGTTACCCACTATGACATTTAGATGACATATAAATACATTTAAAATTTGGTTTTGGGCAAGTTAATGAATTGGTTATACTAGCCCTTGTAATTAGCTAATACATTCTAAAGTTCAGAAATATTTTTTTCAAGGCCAAGTGAAGGTTTAACAAAAGTCACGAAAGGCCATGTTCCTGGTCATTATTGTAGTTAATGCGTCCTGTATAGATTTATTAGCTGAATAGAACCAATGAAGATTCCCTCCACCCCCAATCACCCTTATCCCCACCCACAGGCTTAGCATATTTAGAATCAGAAGTAAGTTAGAAACATCTTGACCACAGGAAGGAAGTATTAGTAGAGTGGGAGAGCATCTAGGTTTTAAAGGACCTGCATCAACAGTACTGAAGAGACTGAAAATTTACTTTGGAATATTAATTTTAGTTACCCACTTTTCTCACTAATGGGTTTTTCTCTAGAATAATAAGAAATTCCTTGAGAACCTGACAAAGTTAGATACAACATCTATTTCATGGGTGCTTATGCAATTTCTTCATCTGTAAAATGGGGATAATAATGCCTACCTAGCTCAAAGGATTATGTGGGTTAAGTAAATAAATGTGTAAAGAAGTGGAACTGTTATTTTTATGGAAATGTGAGTATTATTAATAATTATCCAATTTAGAAAATAAAGACAAAAAGTTTTGATATTTTCATAAGATGGGGCCGTACTACAATATGTAGAACTCTGTCAATTTTCAACTATCTAGTTAGTTTAGGCAAATTAATGTTAGATGCATTTGTTGAGTGAAGTCTAAATTTAACTGTAAAATTACATTCTAAAATGCAGCCAACTCATGATGAGCCTTATGTGAATTATCCTATTGTAGAATATTGGTCAGAAATTTGTTTTCTACATAAATTGAGCCAAGCCTTAGGAAAAGATGAGTGAAGCAGATAAAGGATCTTGTGTTGGCCATGGGTATATGGGGTAGCTGTCTCAACAGGTGATTCAGCGATTAACCATTGATGGACGTTGTGTGGCTGCGCAGAGAAAAGAAGCACATCTTTATACCTGAAATGAAGGAGCTGAATCTGATATACAGGTCTATAGCTCTGTTATATGGGCAAAGAGCAAAGTGTGGAAATTCATTTTCATGAAAGGCATTTTAAGGAGATTGGGCCAAAAGAAAAGGAGAAAGCAACAGGGAAGACATAATACTTAAATTCAGGTTGTAAGACTCCTCATTAGATTTTAGGATAAAGTGATAGTAGCTTTGTTGGCTGTATTTGAATGAAGGTAGAATATTTGTTAGTGTCAAATATGCCTGGGCACTACTCTAGGTAGTGGGTAGTTAAAATCCTGCCCTGTATGTGCCCCATACTAGAGGAGTCATTGTTCACTATAGTGTCATGCCTTAGAGGATTGTGTCATGGAAAACAGCAATGTGCATAGTTTGTCAAGAGCATGAATATTGTGACTTAACTGGTTACTCTGTAACTAAGCAACATTGAACTCTCAGAAATTTGGTTATAAGTTTTTATAGTATAGTTTCTTGCCAGTTTCTAGGTGAGGCTTATATACTGTGCCCTAGTTATCTTTGTCTTAATTCCCCAGCCTTTATGTGTTATGTCTTTATTATTCCTAATATTTATACGAATAAAATTAATGGAAACTCAGTTAACAAGAGCTAACATTTATTGGGTGTTTACTATTTGCTAGGCAGTGTTCTAATTGCTTTATGTATTCCCCGCGATAACCGTAGGAAGTTCATACTATTATCATCTTCATTTTAGAAATGAGGAACCTGAAGCATTTTAGAAGTGAGGTTAAGTAACTAGTCCAAGTCTACATAGCTAGTATATGGCAGAATTAGAATTTGAACTCAAACAGTTGACTCCCAGGACCTGTGCTTTTAACCACCCTACTGTACTGCTCCTTTCCTTATGAGCGGTGCTCCCATGTGCATTTTATTATTGGGGAACCCTGTAGTAAACGATCACAGCAGATCTTCCTATTTTTCCAGCTTGCACAAAAAACTTTGTATCTTAAAGACAAGCTGCTAGATAGTATTCTCATTTTTAATGCTTATATGAAAGTTCAATAAGTATTAAAAATTAATATAGTGTGTTCATAGGCATTGTGTAAGAGCTAGTATTTATTGCTTCAGATGAAAATACAAGTAATTACAAATTTAAGAATCCTAAGTTAGTGCAAGTAATTAGTTGTGGGTTAATCCTCAATAATGAAGCAATTATTAGGTAGTCTGAGAGTCTGTAATTTTTAATTTCTAACAAAAAGCTTGAAATAAATTTAGAACTGTGGATTTTACCTTCGGTTGACCTTATAAATTAAACATGGCAAGTGGATATTTTCTGGTGTTTTGATTTATGTTGAACTTTGAATAACCCCTTATGATGATAAATCACTAGAAATGTTTATCATTAGCCAAATTTTGAACATTAGCCATGATATTGCCCTTCTTGATACTTTTGAATTTCGATGATTTACAAGGTAAAATTTATGAACCAACAGTCCTCCTCCCTTCCATATCCCATGCCTTCTGATATGGACGGACTCAACTTTTGTCAAAATAGATATTTTTCAAGGACTGAGTTTACCTCCGACACTGAGAGAGATAAAAATAGAAAGCATAATAGCACAGCCACTGAGAGATGATTCATACATAAATACTGTTAGTAATGCTTGAAAACATTGTTTGAAAGACCACTGGCAAATGATGATTCATTAAAAAGAATGGCGAAAATATTCCTCCCTATAAAAATCAACAGTGATTAATT